AATCTCAAAATATTTTCAAGATTTCAGAACAAATCAGGAATTTCAAATTAAAATATAAAATTATGAATTATTCTTCAAATCGGGAATCCCCAGTTCCCCACAATCTTTGCTAGAAGTCAGATTTTGAAGGCAGAAATGAAGCCAGTTAATGATAAAACGATCACAAAAGACTACGAAACATATTTGGGCTGCTCCATGGGCCATGGCTCTCCCAAAATATCCTATATATTTCAAAGGATAGAGAGTCAGAGACGTGTAAGCAGCTGCAATCTCTACAGCTTTCAACTTTGGAGAACTTCCTGCAACTCTAAGTGTTCTGTATGTTGGATTTAATAAAATTAAATAATATTTTTTTTTTTCAGTTCAGTGTGGGATTACCAAACGAATGAAAATGTGAGACCGATTACAGTACCGAAATTTCAAGATCGGTTCGGGATTGGGTATTGAAATTTTCGGGATTTTCATTTTGGGAAATTTTCCACCCTAGAAACATGATCTGTGTTAATTTTACATATATAAAATAAATGGGTAAATGGTTACCCATAATTGTAACAGTAAAGTTTAAATGGGCAGCTAACACAGTTACCCATAACCGCGAGTATTTTACCCATCCCTACTCGCATCACACACTCTCTCCACCTAGAAACAAGAAAAAAGAAAACAACTCGTGTAATCATATTCTCTATTCAATTTTGGGGTTTCCTCATTCTCAATTGAATTAAGAATTTTAAGGTTTCCTCATATTTTCTATTCAATTTTCTGCAAATCTAACTTTCTGTCGTTCGAAAGTTTTGTAATTTATCAATTTCAAGATTTCTATCAAATATGGATTTAAAGTTTCGTTTGTGTATACAGTAAGATTTCTTAAACTAATTAATCATTTGCTATTTTTTTGCTCTACTTCAGATACTTTAAATTGGAATGGTCATGGTATGTATAATTGGGGGCAGCATACGATTTTTTGCTCCTTCAAATATAATTGGGGCTGTTAACTTTTAGGACCACCCAATGGCGTAGGCCCAAGGAAAGGCCAAGGAGCCCAAGGCCCAGAGGTTTCAAAGAGAGCCTCCTCAACACCCGAGCCGATCGAGACGAAAAAGGGGTTGCCCGATCGCATCGAGCACGAGGGCAAACTGAAAAGTACTGGCGACACGGGGCAGAGTGACCAATGTCCGAGTGGGACGCTCGGCTTGCCTTAGTTTAAAAAGGTATGTCACCCAGGCTGCAGAAACGTCACGAGAGCTTGGGCGAATAGGCAGAGTGGTGTCAGTCGATAAATTTTTGGGACAGCTCAGCAGGATTGGTGGTGTTCCCAAACAATTAAAGTTTAACACCTGGATTTTGGATTAGGCTCATTTAAACAATCCTGGAAAAGCCCACAGGTCAGAAGACCTTTTTCCTTCCAAGAGTGAACCAGAAGAATGCAAGCAGCAGCTCGCCGTTCGCCGCTTCGGTTGTAACGGAAGACATACAAGGGCATTCTGACTTTTGCACTTTTCAAAGTTGTGCTTAAGTGAGGTTAAATCAAAATTTCTCTCACAGTTGATGGGTTGCAGTTTAATTGCTGTGTCAGACTATAAATTGGTTCAGAGATGAGTGTCAAGTGTCAAAGAATTTTTCAGTGAGTGCATGCTTGTTTACAGATCACTACTCTTCCCCAGTCCTGGTAATTTCTTCTCTCTCAGATACAGCCAAGTGGAGAGGATGACCTCCTCAGAAAGCTCCGCCTCTGCATCTCTCTAGAACAAACAGCTTTTTAGCTGGAAGAGAAAACCAAACTCAAATTTCGCCGGGTTAGCCTTTACCGTCGTCGAAGCGGCGGACGGCGAGCTGGTGCTTGCATTCTTCCGGTTCGCTCTTGGAAGGAAAAAGGTATTCTGACCTTTGGCTTTTCAAGGATTGCTTAAATGAGCCTAATCCAAAATCCAGGCGTTAAACTTTAATTGGTTGGGAACATCACCTGTCCTGCTGAGGTGTGTATTCCCGTCACTTTCAAAAATTTCTCGCGTCAGTAAGCAAGTTGTTGACACATTAAATGCCAATTTGAGAGGCCACAAGAAGGGGAGGCATATATAAAAAAAAGGGTAGAGATCTCCAATATGGGGTCGGACAAATCGGAGAGAAGAGAGTGAATGTATGAGCCAAACACTATTTAGCTTTGAAAATCAATAAATTATGAGCACCATAGTGGATGTAGTCCCTTTTTTGAGGGATGAACCACTTGCATCTTTGAATCTGTATAATTTCAATCCATTTCCTAAGCCCACTTAAATTGATTTAATTAAATTTGTTAACCTAAATTGATTTCAATCCATTTGTTAACCTAAATTTATTTTCCAAAGTCACATATTTACAATGAACAAACATTTTTGTTTTCTTTTATCAACTAAAAGTAGAAGGAACAATAGAACGACTTATCAGACTACAGTAACGAGTTAGAATTAAGATAGGTCTAGAGTTCGTTCAAATTAGCAGGTTCATCTATCTGGCCCATTCTTCCGTTTTTAATTAAAATTTGATCAGATATGTAACGTGATATGAAAACATGAACGGCTTTATTCAATTTTTTTTCAATTTAATTAAACCTTTTCCATTGTTCGATCCAAATGCCATTTTTAGAGGTGTTTCCATATCATGCAGAGATCTAGCATATAACATAAAACGTGCAGTATGAAATATAATTTTGTTTTTTAAGAGTATCTCAAACAAACTATCTTTAAATTTATATTTCAACTGAAAATACATAATCACGTCAAGGAAACAAGCTCCAATAGCCTCTTCAATGTTCAAATACAAATACCAAACTTGGGACCTTACAATTCATGGTTGCGCGGTTGAGTTTTGCGGGAGGGTTTATTGTAATGTCGATATTCTCCCAACCAAAGGAAGAAGTGGTCAGTCAATTAAAGTTTTTTTATTTGAAAATATTTTATTTAATGAATGAGAAACATAAAAAAGAATTAAAAATGTGTTAAAGGCTATGTTATATAAATTGGTAGGTGGAAAAATAATGTTTTTATATTTTTTTAGTTTTGGTGGTGAGTGAGAATACAAGGTGCGTAAAGAAATAACATTGGTGGATAGTCCAACACCACTCTTAAAATAATATTTGTGTATCCCACATGGAAGGTAACAGAAATCAAACTTTACCACGTAACGTACATCTCCATTTTAATTAGGAGGCAAATTGTCTGCCCTTCCACTTTTCGTGCCTTCTTATTTTGTGTGATCACGGTTAAGCCACGTCAATATTTATATTGTTTTCTTTTTATATAAAGATAATAAGACAAAAAAGAATAATAATGTAAAATATTGACGTGATTTAATCGTGACTACACAAACAAAGGTCATGGGAGGGCAGAAAATCTGCCTCCTCTTAATTATATGCAAAGTTATGGTACTGCAAGTACTTTGAAAGTTAAAACCATGGGAGTTCGCAAGTTGGTAGAATATCAATCTTATTAAATACATTTTGTTAATCTGCATCCTCACGTTGCCAGCGACTTAACAAATTTAAACTTTCCAACCGATTTGTGGAATTTGGAAATTGCCCCGAATTTGACCGATTATCATGTTATACTAGCTGTCACACAAGCTTTTCCATATGGATCAAATAAATCAAAACCCTAATAAAGTGTAAAGACCGTGGGCAGTCGCATGCAGCTGACCATTGGAATTTGAATTTATATGCTTCAAGAAACTTCGTGGATGGAGCTTGATTAGGGTTACTTAGCAAATAATGCGACTCTTTGAACTAGCAACCAAGTCGTGCCAGTTAGTTTCTTTGTTGTTGCATACGAAAATTTTGTTTTATCATGATGTATGCAGACACAATGTTCACCAACGTCGGTTGAACATCATAACAACAAAATATTACAGAGAATCAAATCTAAAATGATCCCTTTTCTGAATTCCTAAAATTATTGCAGCAATCTAAAGTGATATATATATATATATATATATATATATATATATATTGGGAGAGAGAAATAATTTTTTTGCTAGACTGTTTGTATTAACCAAACAGTCTAGCTATATTGCAATGGGGTGTGCTATTTATACACCCCTCTTAATTTTTAATTGTCGGATCGAATGAATTGAAGAAAATCAAATGATATATATTAAAAAGAAGTGTGTGGATAGCACACCCCTATTGCAATAACATTCATCAAGTTGGTTCTTGTTTGGATATGTGATTCATATGCAATGGTGGATTCGGGATTTGAATTGGAGGCTCCAGTGTCAAAGTACAAGTTTTTAGATAGAAATAGAGTGTGAAGTGTGTAGAAATTTTTTTAGTTTATTCATTGAGGCATTTCGTTGAACAAGCCTCGTCGGCCAAACATTCTGATGAGTGATATTAAAAGAATTTGTCGAATGTTGTTGGCACAACCTGATGAGATATGCTTAACAAACATTACATCAAACATTTAATAGGTGCAAAAGAGACTCGTACCAATGTTTGGAGGGTCCTCTAAAATATTTTCGGGACTCTGAGTGGTACTTGAACCACCTTGATCCCGATATACATCCACCACTAATCATACAACAACAAAAACATCACAATAACATAGAAATTTAGCTATATTGCAAAGCTATGAATATAAACATTGATAAGGTACTCTTTATGTAGACGTAATTGATCATATGACAACATAAATATCTGCCTAATTAAGTTTTTTTGACGATATAGCGTTATAATATACAATCTTAACTAATGAATATCATGAAGCTCATGCTGTTTGAATGTCATATATATGAGGCAGTTTAAGCGGGTCTTATACTATTAATTTCTTAATCAGTTCTTAACAATGTTAATTCAATACCTTAGGATTTATACAGTATTTTTTACGATTCGAACTCTTAGTAATCCAGAATTAAGAGCTAAATCCTAAATCCTAAGGCTAAATTTACATGCTCTCATCTTTGTATATAATCGCATGATAATAGTACATAATTAAACATGCACAATAATTTACATTTAATTATAGGCTGGTATATATGCAAAAATTAATAATAAAATCTTTTGATCCTTTTTCCTCTGTGATCAGCTTTCTGATGCAAAATTGTGATAATAAGTCTGCTACGTACATTCAAATCTTTCAAGAATAGGAAAAATAACAACAAATATAAAATTAAAAAAAATAAATTCTGGCCTTCAAAGTTTAAAGTACCCTATTTGGCACCCTGATCTCTCTCACAGTCCTAGACTGTACCAAGCCTTCTTCCCTCCGCTTACTTCTGGGACGAAGCAACTTCGTCCAAAACCCACTCTTCTTCTTCTCTTCACTGCCCAGCTCTCTCTTTCGTCTCGGAAAGTAATTCACTAGCGACCTACTTTTACGAAGAACATTACTTTCACCACTCAACAACCAAGTTATCGTCGAACCCTTTTGCTCGTAACCTGGCGCTGGAGACGAAGAAGAACCCGAAGAAGACGAGTAATGCGAAGATAAAGAAGAAGTCGTAGAAGGAGAAGCGGAAAAAGTTCTACGCAAGTAGGGAACAGAATAAGTTGAGAGCTTCTGAGCAACTCGTTCTAGCTTTTCCTTCAAGCACAAGGAGCAAACGCCCGGCGATTGTTGGTGTTTCGGGTGCTTCTTGCAGGCGATGTCGGACTTCTTTTTCGACGATCTTCTGAGCTTTTCCATTTGGTGATTGATTTGCAGTCGCATTCTGAAGGTTTTTGTGTGGTATTTATCGAGGAATAAGTGATACGAAACTGTGTTTTGGTGTGTTTCCACGTTAGTTCATGCGAGCTTCGTTGGGTTTTCTATAATACCTTTTCTCACGGGTTGTGGGGTTTGAAAAGTTGGAGCTTGAGGACCAAGTGGACGGCTGTGATGGATGGGATAGGGGTGTGTCCACTCGGGATTGGAGTCGGTTGCTGTGATGGTTGGGAGGATAGATTTAAGTGTGGAAATGTCGACAGGGAAAAAAGATAAAAAAGTATGAATTTTCCAAGCTTTCTGTGGGCGGCGGCGTGGAAAGCAAAAGGTGCAGGCGTGGACGGGATCAAAATAAGCTACACGAAGTTTGGAACTTTGGATGCGAGGGAATGTACGAAAGTATTCTAATAGGACGTCGGTTGTTTTGTTTTATTTAAAAGGAGAATTCTTGTTTACTTTTTCTTTTATCGAATTAAAAATACCTGCATTCTCTTTAACGAGATGAGCTCATTTTTCATGTAGATAAAATATTTTTATTGTACAAATTTCATATGGTGCTTAATAAATTAAATGGTATGATCATTGAGTTTATATGTTGAAGATATGCTATTCAAAAATGAATTGTTTTTACGTTGAAATACTATTATTCACAAATTCCACCCAATATTACAAATGTGGTAATCAAATTTCACCAGCTATAAAAGGATATGTCGTGTGTGTTAAAGCAAACTTGGTGCCCCTCATCACGTCTATCATGGTTAATTGATGTTTGCTAAATGGACGGGGATATTGTGGAGTTCAAATAGATCAGGTGTATTATGAAATATTTGGATGTGGTGTTATCAAATCCGCCCACTATCTATTGTGACGATCAATCTGTTATAGCATTAAGCGATAATCTTGTGTTTGACTCGATAATCAAACATCTTGGCACAAACTTCCATTTTGTTAGAGAAAGAGTTCAATGGTTAGACTTGCAAATTTTGTACATTCCCACTAATGATCAAACTGCAAATATCTTGACAGAGGGTTTTCATGGTCCTACATTTGTAAAGGCACTGTTACAATCTCAAGCTTGGAAACCCCAGTTGAAATTGAAGAGGGATGTTGACTATTGTTGACCGTTCTATTTTAAGTCTGTTACTTTGTTATAAAAGTAGCTGCTAAGTTTGTTAGTCTCGATATAATAGTAGCTAAGTTTCTCCATTTTGTATTGACAAGATCATTTATTGGAGCCACATCGGTCACATGACAAAATAATATACAATTAACAAATAAGAGTTTCCACCTTTAACAATACCAAGACTTTTTATGACAAAACCCAACACATAACAATAATAATAGGAAAAATTATTATCCAGTCTCTAGTTACTAATGTTCATTGACTAAGACCTTATTAGTTTTCAAATTTTGTTTGAAGTCCCTAGCATTAATGTGATAATGAATTTACATGTTAATTACATAATTTTTAAAAATAAAAATTAGTAATTGATTTAGGGTTTTAATACTCACACCTCTATTAAACTCCTAATTAATTTTCGATTCAAACATTTCAAAAAAAAAAAAAAAAAATTAAAATAAGTTTATACCTATTAGGTTTTTTTTCACAAAAAGATTCTCAATTTTTTAATCTTAAATGTACCCCTTCATATAATTTTCAATTTTTTTTTTAATCTTAAATGTATCATTCTTAAATATACCAATTTTTTATATGTAAAATGTACCCTTTTTTAATATAAAATGTACCCAATTTTTCAATATAAAATCCATTCAAATTTTTTTAATCCATTTTCTAAATTATATAGGTACATTCTTTTTCGTTGATTTGAGAATGTATCCATATCAAGTTTAATCGAAGAAATTTACTAATGTTATTAAGCCTAATATCTTTTTTTCTTCTTGTGATTTTTGAAGAAAGTACCCATGTTTTGGTACAATAATTTTTGTTTGTTTTTGTTAAAAAAGGGTGCCCCAAGGTCTTGAACCCAACTTGCTTCTAAGTCACCGAATACCTTGCCTTTCTGTAGCCCAACCCCGTTCATTAGCAACTGTAGAGACACCCTTGGATCAGGTGTTAGCTCCTATAAGCATTGGTTGCTACTGGGAGAGGTTAGCGAGGTACTCATCCTTCTTCTGCATTATAGAAGTCTACAAAAGAAAAGAAAAACCAATTAAGATTGTCGATCATAATTTAAACCTTTTTTTAATTGTAATGAAATTTAAATTTCAAACGTAGAGCGAAATACTTACAAAAATGTTGTTAGCGACTTGGCTGCCATAATTGGTATGCACCGCCCCCCCCCCCCCCCAAAAAAAAAAAACCTCCACTTTCGGGAAATGCGAATCACTCGCCATCCGTTCCTCGACCCTGTGAGATAGGGTCGAGAACCAGAGTGATGAAGGTACAACTTCTTCTCCTAGTTACCTTTATTTGTCGCCGTTTTTTTTGTAAATTAAACTTAACTAAAAAAACATAAAAATTGAACTAAAATTAAAATATAAATAAAATTGACCTAAAATTTTTCGATCTAAAAATGAGTGCACATCCCCCTCGCCCATCATCTCCACAAACTCCTTGTTATGGATCGTTAAGAGCTACATCAGGAAACACACAAGTCTTGTAGCATAAGTGTAGCTTGTATCACTCCTTATACCACTCCCTCCACACGCGGTCTATATACTCGACACAAGCCTTATCCTACGTGTCTCACTCAAAATTGGCCTGAAATCCCAAACAAAAACCAAATTTATTAGTTTAAAACAACATTAAATAATTAAAGAAAAAAAAAATTAATGAATTAAAAAAGGGTGTACACTTACCCAAAGCAGTCTGACCATCTTGGCACAAACTTGGATGATATATGCGTCTTCTAAGAATCAGAGACCATGAGGCATTTGTTGCGGATGATGGCACTCATGTCATGTGTTAACAAACTGTTGATTTTGTCACTCGCTCACCCGTGACTCAGGAGGTATTCAACCCGGATTCGCTTCTATGTGACCTGGGTGATCTAGTTAGTTGCCAACCTCCTACAAATCTCTTGACTTTTTCTCTTCGGCTTGGTGAGGAGCTCTCCATCCCCCACCTACTACATAGCCATCGAATCGGCCTTTGCACTAAGGCTGCCCTGAGCAGGGTGGGATGGGGTTAGGCTGGGGTCACTAAAGGCTCATGTTGTGTGCAGTTGTGAGAGAGCTTGGCAAACCGAGCCACCCACCGTAATGGTGCAAACTTGGCCACCCATTTACTCGGCTGTGGTCACCTGGGTGGCATTAAGCGATTACCTCTCATTCTGAGTAGAGGCGGATGCAGACGACCATTGGTAATTAAGCGCAAAGAATTTTGTGAAAAAAAAAAAAAATCATAATTTCACAAATTTCCAACAATTTCACATATTTCTACAGTTCAACCAAATTTAAACATATTTCCTACACTTTCACATATTTCATGATTTTTACCGAATTTTCATATTTTCCACCAAATTTCATAAATTTTCACAAATTTCCTACAAGCTCAAATATTTCTACAATTTTACCAAATTTAAGCAATTTCCTACAATTTCACCTAATTCTAAAATTTCACCATATTTTCATATTTTCTACCAAATTTCACAAATTTTCACATATTTCCTACAAGCTCACATATTTGTACAAATTTTACCAAAATTTAAGCATATTTTTTACAATTTCACCTAATTCTAAAATTTTTACAAATTTTCACATGTATTCAAAACATTGTTCTAAAAATCCCTGTCTAGGTGCTAGGCGGTTGACCACCATCCCGATTAATGCCTAGGCTTTTGAAACTTAAAAAAGGGTGCCTGGACCTGTTGAGGTGCCCGCCTAGACTGCCCAGACCTGCCTCGCATCTAAAGTGTCCCATAATAATATTGACAAAAAAAAAAAAAGTGATTAAGTTGAAACAATCTGATGCTCCTCGATCTTTCTCCTGCGCCTCAGCCAGTTAAAAATGGAAATCTAACATTTGGTGAAGGCAACAGTCTTGCAAATACAAGAAAAATATCATAATGTGTTCGGTTCAAGCAACAAAACACGGAATGTGCCTCATGCCTTGAAGTTACAAAATTTGTATTAAACCTACTGCTGCATTGTGAACCTTGTAACTGAATCTTAGGGGACAATTTTGGTCTTCGAGGACTAAAACCTTTGTTCTTCATTATGGTGTAAGCACCTTAGACACCACAATAAGAAGACTTGCTCAACACCCTTTTGATTAAAAAGTGTGCTATTCACACACCATTTTTTACCTCTGGCCGTTAGATCAAATGAGTTGAAGAAGATTAAATGATAGAAATTAATTAGGGGTGTGTGAGAAGTAAAAAAGGGTGTGTGAATATCACACCCTTGATTAATCAGTCATGTGTATCGTTTTTTTTATATCTTTTCTTTGGTAGGTTTCGGTATGGAATAGATTTCACCTTGAGTACGTTTTCAACTGTGAGATACATCTACTATTTCATTATGTAAGCTCATTCAGTATCCAACTATTGTCAAAAGTGCATCATGTTTTTACTTGGAGTGATGTGCACATTATGCACCAATCCATAGAAATCCTAAAAAATTCATGAAAATACTAAAATCCTAAGAATTCCATGAAAGAAGTCCATACAAAGCCATACAAATTTATAATAGAAATCCATATAAATATGCCAAAATCCATGTTGAATTATAAGTATATTAAAATCCTTTGAAATTTGTCACTTAAAAAAAAGTCCATTAAAATCCCCTGAAATCCAAATTGACTACACCCTCTTAGACTTGAAAAATATTTAAAAAGTGAGCCAAATGCCACTTTTACGGTCTAGTAGTATTCCTCTTCACTTGTAAGTGAAAGGTTTTATGTTCGATTCTCGCAAAGGCAAATTTGAACCACATTATCATTAGCCCATTATTGGCTTAGCCCACTCCCCCACACCTCCTTAGTGAAGATAATATCGTTTGTTCAAAAACAAAAGTGGGCCAAATAATATATAGGATAATACTTGTATCCTCCCATAAGAGAATGCACATATTCTCCCATTTATGAA